TGGTGCGATGTTAATGGCTCTCCGTGGCCGCACACACACGAAATTGCGATATCGTATCTCTTTCTCTCTGTCTCTCACCTGTACAATGCAAATAACTGTGTTGCGAATTATGGGTGATACCATTTTTGTAGTTATTGTTATCGGGTATGTTTTGATAGTCTTGGGTACATATTTCGAAAATTTATGATTTTATTATAATTTTATTATAAGATTTTTAAATATTTTATGTTCAAAATATTATTGTTTCTATTGTAGTTTTCGTTTTTAGAATTTTACATTCGACGTTTATGGATTACAATCATTATTCATAACTAGAATTCAGTTTTAATTTAATATAAAAAACCTTAAATGTAATATTTTTAAAACATTAAATATCATTAAAATACAATTTAATAACTTGAAATGAGTTACAAAAATTTGTTTTATACCAAATGCAAAAAATTTTATTCGTATAATTCCAAACTCCAGCATGATATATTTCAATTCAGAAACAAGCGGCACTAAAGATTTTTATTTAGTCTTTCATTCTTAATCTTGATAGAAATCGCACACGCATATATAAAAAAACATAATAAAGTTAAAAATGTGCAGCATTTAAAAAAAGAGGAGGTAGAAAACGAGCGAAATTCCGTTAATGGCGCGAATCCACCCGCGCACGCGCTACATAACTAGCGAATGTGTGTGCCGGTTCTTTTTGTTTTTGAGTGTATCTCTGAGTCTTTTATAAGCATGTTGCACTTGTAATGTCATTCCATAATTATCCAAGTATTACAAGCTTACTGGTATTTATGTATTTGGTAATGAGGCTGTTCAAATGATTGTGTATTAGTTAATATTGTTACGTCGTAAAATATACATCGTTTTGTTAACAAAATAATATAAATTTTTTTCTTTCATCAATTACGATATAGCATTTTCAATTTTTGTCGAATCTATTAAAAAATTTTGTTATTATTAAATTGCAAGAAGAAAATATGATTTAAAATAAAATTCGATGAAAACCGCAGAGTTTAACCATCTATAGCTTAAACCTCCTGTTATAAAGCCTTGTATCTAATTTTTAAAATACAATTCTCATAAAAGTAATGCCAACAATGTAAATTTGTAAATCGCATGCAGTAAATCAACCTGCACGCACAATCACTTTGAATGATAACAGTTTTTTAGTTAGGTAGTATTGTTTTCCACCTTGGCCTTCTTTGCATTGCTCAGAATCTCTTACAGTAAGCAACAAAGAAAAGAAGAATGAAAAGAAATACACGGCGACGATCACGGTGAGAATTAACAGGCTGGGTGGAGTGGGACCCCACCTATAGGCGCGTGGGACCAACACGCCTACAAGATATCAGGACGTACGGTTCCATTTGTTTTGCTTCCGACCACTTTAAAAAAAAATGTTACTTTGTATGTAGCTTACTATATTCGTTTTCATGTCAGAATAGATAAGAATATTAGTAATCTTTCTTTCTAATTAAAATTGAAACTTATCTGAAGAGAAAATGTATCATGTCAGTTCAAATAAGACGAACTCTTTTCATTATTATAAGAATCACAAATTGAATTGAAAATATATCAATTGTATTGAGTCCCATCAAAAGAGTGTACACGAGATTAAAAATCCTTCATAGCATCGAAGAGCAAACTCGTGAATCAAATAAAACAAAACTCGACTAATCCATCTACGAACGAGGGCATCGTGTCTCTTTTTATCCCTGCTATTTACATCTGAATAAAACGATAATCCTCGTTGAGAGTTGGAAATCGAGCCGGAGCGACAGCTTTCATCGGAGCTGCTCGTTAATTCCGATGCGCAGCCACGATGGATGTCACACAAGAATAAAAAGTAGACATTGAGTACATATAGCGGCGAGATAAGAAGACACATCGCAAGCTTTCATTAGCATCTCTTTCAATAGATGAAATTATTACGATTGAACTGGACGTAAATACACGTATCTGATAAGACCAGGTGCAAAGATAAAGAGTCTTATTTATCAATGTGAAAAGAGGTTTGACTTGCGTTCTTTTCGAGAACAAATACTAACGTTTTGCAAAAACGAATTTTTGCGTCATTGGTTTATTGACATCAGCGTCTTACATAAGAAACGAAATTCATATCCATTATATAACTCGTGTTTCCATTTTAATATTCAATAATAATTGAAAATTTTTATATTAGTCATGACAAAAAGAAGATTAGAAAATTTTGTTGAAACATAAAAACTTTTAATTGAATTACGTCAATCAACAGTTCTACAATTACAATTTCCAAGAGTTTCTCATGTCACAGGCTTTCACTTAGTTATTCGGTCTTTTTCTCGCGACGGCGGCAGCATTGGACAATGGCTACCGTGGCGCATGGCGGTGAAAATCATTCGAGCAAACGGCGTGTCACGTGTGTGCATGTGTCAGCCAAGGCGCGAAATTCCATACGAAGCCGTAAATCATAATTAAACGAAAGTGTCCAGTTTGACATCGAGGCGGAAAAGAATCAAAGCTTGATTTTCCCGCAGCTTGCTGGCGCGCTTATGACACCAAGGCTCTCGTCGGTATGACTACTGTAAAACTTGCCATGCGCTTTTAGTGATTTATCTCTTGTTTTACGTCGCAAAAGCGTTTGCCGCTACCGCCTTTACCACACGCGCAGTTCATTTTTAAAGGATTCTTGTTCGACTGGAATATCATGTAATAATGATCAAGGTTAACCTGAGAGTGGGAATATAACTTTTCATAGCCAATATCTTTCATTGGCATTGAACATTTTTAATTTTCTGAATTTGAAAGTGAAGCTAGACGTAAACATATTTAAGTTATCCATTTATCAAAGATTAACTGATCAGACGAGGTATACATTGTCAATAGCTTTATTCCAATTATTTGAAAGTAACTATAAATATTACGTTATCTACAATCAGTCTGCAAAATTAAATCACAACTGACGATGAAGAATATTATTGACATAATCTTATGGATTAATAGGGATTTAGTAATTAAGTCAGTATACAATGTATGCTCTTTTTCGCAATGTCTGCGCGACTAATAATAAAATTTTTTGAAAAAGTGTCTACTTGCCAGAACTCAGTTGTTGAATATTCAGACTCGGTCGTTAATCGATCGAGTGCTAATGCAATTCTCAATCGAGAGAAAGAAAGAGAGAGCCTTTCATCCTTTGGTTCGACTCGAATTTCCGGTTTTCATTGTCTTTTATCTCTCCTACGAACTCCCTTTTCTCTCTACTCTTTCGGCTTGTTATTTTTACGTGTCTCGTTATAACCTACAGAAAGAACCTGCGATTCTCGCGGTTAGATTGCACACTCGTATCAAGTTGTTTCTTTACCTGTAAGCGACGTGGGCGGCGTCTTTCGTTGCTTAGGAACGGATTTCGGTGAAAAAGTCTGGGAGCTTGTTTCCTCACATCTTGCTTTTTTCCTTTTCTCATTGTAGAGATGCATCTTTGTAGTAGAAGGGTCTAGGAATTTTTCGTTACAAAAAATTTTTATATTTAATGAGAAGAGAATATGAATTTATGGAAAAAATACATTTATCTTAAACAATGTCTTTGAATAATCATAAAAAAAAGTTTTTTTTTCCAATCGCATAATTCGTAGTTGCTTTTTTTTTTTCAATTTTTACAGTAAGAATTTCATAAATTTATTTTACATCAACTTTTATTTTACAATTTTTTAAAATGTGAACATTCTTGGATACACAACTGCGATTGTTATATTGGTTGTATTAATCTTAACCTAATATACAAGAATTTAAAATTTATATCCAATAAGAAACTTAATTTAACAAATTGCTTTAAAGATAAAAAATTGTATTATATATTATTTTTACTATCGTTTAAGGTGAGCTTTTGCCCATTTATAAAATACATTTCATTTTTTAATTTTTACATTAAAATGCAAATATCATATTATAGACAAATCCACAATGTATAATAATGAATATTTTCTAAATGGAATGTTGTGAATTGAATGAGTAAAAGTAGAATATTATATCAAATCAAACCTGATGCAACGCGAAGTAATTAATACATTTTATTAATATCTTTTCTCTCTGTAAAGGATGGATTGCCTCTAGTATGTAAGTAATACCTCTAGTAAAGTTATTTTACAATTTGTTCAAATATATTTAAAAATCTTGATTTCCGTTAATTAAGTGGTTACAAGTCAGAATTATGTCCTACCAAATATTTCTATTAATGATTATAAACATTGCGTATGTAAACCATAATGAATCAATGCTGTTTGCATTATAATAATTTGGCCTGAACATTTACCCCATAAAGGTAAGATATAAATAAGAACATTTTTTTACATTATAGTTAAACATATTCAATAATAATTATAATTTTTTTTAATTATTTTAAACCACTTCATGCGAGTAAGTTGAGGAATTTTTATATTCGAAGTAATCATCGTTTTTCCCATTATAATAAATTGCATATATTTAAATTTACTTCTGACATCGGACTGCAAGTCAGGAAATGAATATTCAGCTGAATACTTTTACAATGACTGCAATATTCTGATAATCACAAATAATGATTTTTTATTCGCAAAAGAAAGCAAGTTCTATCAAATTTATCAAAGCTGTTTTGAATTTAATTTCTAATAACAAAAGAACAAAAGAAACGTAGTGTTGACTTATCATATGATAGACAATACACAATATCTTGGGTTTTCATTTGGAATTGAATATTTCAATGAAAATTTCGAGAATTCAAAATTTGCTATTACATAATGTGTTATCATAACGGAAAAATTCCCCATCTGATTATCCTCTATCTGAATGATATTTACGTAGTAAATATACCAAATAGGTGGATATTGAAATTTCCTGTACTTTTATGAGCTTCTCAAAGTCAAATACACATGTATCTTTGAGATAAAAAAATGTGAGTTATTTCCTGAAATGCGTCATTGATGAAAAAGTATAAAAAGCCAAGGATAAAAAGAAAAGAGCAATAAAGACAAAAGAGCAATTGATTGAGAAGGTGCGGAGTTAGCAAAAATAAGAACGATTCTTACAGTATGTTCGCGTTTGGATTTATCACAGTAGCTATATTAGCTGTTTCAGCCTCAGCTCAAATAGAGTCCTTAAGTGAGTAAATTTTATACTAAATATATTTGATTATATACAAGCATTCAAAAATTTCAAAATTATTAGAAATTTTTTAATTTTTCGTATTTTGATTTCTCTCAGTTAAATAAAATATATGTTTTTACGCAAATGCATTGTTGCATTTACTTCAAAACTTTACGACAAAATAATTATTTGTATGATGCCAAATTTAAAAACATTACCAACAAAATTTAATTTCCATTATCAATCAATTAATAAATATATATTCTTACTTCAATTATTTTCCTGATAAAAAATAATACTTCAACGTTAATTCATTTGCACTGAATTTAATTAATTTTTTTATCTTACAGATAATGTAGTCACAGTATGTAAGTATAGTTTCTATCAAAATAAATGCATAATTTTTTTCGTATTCTTTTAATCAAATCTGAATATTTCTATGATTTAGACGGTTATAGACCAGGTCAAAAATGCCCTGCCAACATTTTTTTTGACGACTGTAACCAATGCAACTGTCCCGATGGATACCAGGGCGCTTGTAGCAGAATGGGTTGCTCTAGAGATAAACCTGGGACAGGTATATTTTTTCCAATAAAATCAATTTCATACATCTAATTATATTTTCTTACTATATTTAAAAAATGCTTATTACTTTATATTATAGTCTTCTACAAGCCACTTTATGCACGTAAGTTTATGGTTTTAAATAAAACACAATTATTTATAACGAATGAATATTTATCTATAATTTTTATTTGTAGCATGCTACAAGGTAAATGACAAATGTCCGGCAAAACATTTCTTCGATGGCTGCAATCATTGTGTTTGTAATGGCGATGGCATTAGTGCTGCTTGTACTAAAAAATTCTGTTTTACAAACGATGATCAGAAGTGTGAAATGCCTGCACATGTAAGTTTAATTTGAAGGAGTAATAGCTGTATTTGTTAATTATAGTGAGTTGTTCTTTTTTTTCAGTAAATTGCTATCTAACTATACCTCAATGATGGATGTACTGATTGCGTCTGCAAAGATAATAACTTAATTATCAGAATTTACTGAGTAATTTTATTTTTTGTCAAATTTGAAGACAAAATAAAAGAATATGTACATAAATAACGTTATATTCATTTTTTTCTAAACTTACAATCATTTCATATGAATTTTCATTTCGCTTTTTCATTTGATGCAAAAAAAATATATTTACTTTAATTTAAAAAACAATGTTAATTGATGCAACAGCTCACAGGAGCCTATACAAATTTTCAAGTTTTTTACTTCGAAGTATCATGTTTTCTATGATGGATAATCTTAGACGAATGGTCAAATTGTAAAATGTATTAAAAATCACTATTACGTAAAATGAAATTCGATCCATTTCTAAATTATAAGTCATCGAAAGTGCATCTTCTCCAACATCCCGTTATCCATCAAATATAATTCATTTGAAAAATCTCCATACGTGCGCGCGCGAGCGAGCGATCGAATGAAAAATCGGGATCCATCAAAATGGGGCCCATGAATCATCTCTGCTGGAAAAAAGAATGTCGGGCCACGGGCTTGATTGCGATTAATCAGTCGGAGATCGAATTATTATTGCCTCGGGGATATCTCGTGCGTGCGAAGAATCGAAACTCGGCAAGCTGCAACGTTTTCGCGCCATGATTGATGCACATGCGCTTGCCGTTATATATCCTTTTTATTTTATATAAGACTGATTGTTCACTGTTTCACACACGATTGTTAATGTTATACCTCGAGTTCAATTACTACTTTCACGAGCGCATGCGAAAAGTGGTGCAATTACCTACTTAAGAAACACAAATAAACGAGCATACATACTTTGAACGAGAAGATTTATACTTGTCCTTTTCATTTGCGCTGTTACTCCATATATCGCTGTCTCATTTCTCTATACACTCAGCCACGAGAAAACGCTTTGGTCCAATCAGCTGGCTCACCAAGCGGACGTTATTGTGAAGGCTAGCTTGTAATTTGCAAATTCTTACCGCGTGCGAGATAGACGTGCTGATGCGCTGCAGGCACAATTGAGAAGGTCGTAAAACGATCTCTCCCTCCTTTTAACTTTGTAAATTGAACCCAAAATTTCTCGTAATGAGGGATGTAAGTGAGAGAAGCTGATGCTTATTATTAAACGTTTGACTGCTTCTCGCTACTTCATAGCTATAACATGGAAATTATATGGGAGATATGTATAGGTATTATTGGGATATCGTTATAGAAGGTTATTTTTTTAAGATTATTTATTCTTGAAAAACGAATTAGAAATGCTTTCGCTTGTTAATGAAATTGAAACTTATGCCTAATGTAATAGTAAATAATACAGTCGGTGATACTTCTACTGTCAGATGGAGTACGAACTATTTAATTTTATAATTTTTTTAAGAGAAATTGCTAAAAGAACGAAAATCGGTAAGTAAAATTGGTCAAAATACTCAAAGATGATTAAAAATTTTACTCATTACGGTTTATGTGCTTCAAGTATTGAAACTTGAAAGATTAGTATGCCGATTTATTAGATACTTTAAAAAATTATTATATTTTTAGAAATACAAATCACATTATTGGTTCACAACATCATTGGATCAAAACTTGGTTATCAGTTACAAACTTAATCGCAGAAATAATGCAAATAATAAATCGGATGAGAGCGTTGAAAATTCAAGGCGCATAAATATTTGACACGGCTAGCGTCAGAAATGCGCGCATCTCCATCCATAATTGAAGCTATATCAGGGACGGAGCGACATTCCATTGCAACGCGAGTTGGTTGAACATCGATCATGTCATCGCTCTGTGACGGATTCGGAAGGCGAATCGAACTCAAGGACCAGTTTCTCTCGCTCCAGTACTCGCGCAAGCTTTGCCGCCTAATTAATTCGTAAAATTTATCTTTGGTTTGCAGTCGAGACAGTTACGACGATAAGGCTCGTGTTCTCAATTTTTGTTTATCGCGCTGCGAATAGAATATTAATTCCGGGCGTATATAACTGACGGTTTTTCAACTTTTTATTATGGAAAGAAAGTTTTGGTGAAATATATTTTAACGGAGAATATATAACGATTAAACTTGCTAAGTAGACTTAATTTGTCGAAGCTCGCACCTGTTCCGTGTCAATAAAATTGGCTGAGCTAGATGGTTTGCAATTGAATATCCATTTAAATGGGTTTCATGTTGCCGATAAAGTATTTATTTACATGCGGGGTCGTTCCAATTTATTGATCATGACTTTATATCGGAACGAGCGAGAGAAAAAATAGAACGCTTCTAATTGATGGCACTTCTACAAGTTCTCGTTTTGTTTTTTAAATCATCTGCGTTCCAGCAGTTTATTTTATTAGTTATAGTCCAGTTTTGATCTGAAACTTACAAAGTGAAAAAAAAGAAAACAAAGTAGACGATATATTTCAATTTGTGCTACGCCTTTCATTGCTTCATTTCTTTTAGTAAATGTTGAAATCAAATGCGATTGTTACGCTTTGTACATTTAAATAGCTCACGTCATCATTCAGGATTAACAATAATTACAGCCACGCGGCGAATTACTATATAAAATGGTTCGCAATTGCTTCGAAGTAGTTTGAGATTTTTCGATTGCTGTATCATATATAATGTCACGAATTTTATTGTCTTGAATTTTGAATTACTCAAACCGCATTGAATGTCCACGTTGATAACTCGCAATAAAGATAATCGATCCAGAACGGTTTTCAAGAATCTGAGAATCTGAGAATTTCGAAAGTTAACAGAGATCCAACAACAGGAGCAAATTATCCTGAGAGAAGACGTAGAGGGACCTTGATAGTACAGGATAGAGGCCGCGCATATAGCTACGGCATCATAAATACATCGTGGAGAGCAAGAATTAATGGGACACACGTAGGTGCATTGCTGCCTGGCAGCCTGCCTTGCTCTCGGGTATGGTGCACAATGAGCATGCATTGGCCACGCGCCGGCCTTTGTGACTGTTCGCTCTCCGCGCGCCCCGTTATAATGCTGCTGAGCCGCTGTGCCGTTTGTATTTCTCATCTACCAGTTTCGCCACCCACGTGTTACGTGCGTGCGTATGCGTGTGCATGTACCTTTACTCACTTTTGAGCGCTTTGATGCTTGCTCCATGCACCGACTTACATATTTTAAGCAAAAATTTTTATTGTTTGCTTTGGGATGTGCAATTGCTTGGTGCGTGTATTGGATTTGTAAGGTAACAATAAGAATATTCGAACCTTTGTAAAGCTTTCCGAATAACAATGAGTATACAACTACTGACACGTTGAAAAACGTAATGCAGTAAGAATCAAAGACTCTGCCTACATAATAACAGTATAAAAAGGGTATATATGAAGCAAAATATAGTTGAATCACGAAAGAAATGGATTTTCCTAGAACCTTTTTCTTAGGAGGGAAAATGAAAACTAAAACATTGGAATTCCGGAATGCCACCCCAGGTGTATGAAATTAAAAACTCTAATATGTTGATACAAAGTTCGTTTGAGCGTCAAATATTTATCTTTCCTTGATTTAAATGTGGATGCTGGGAAAATAAATAGATCAAATTCAAAGATCAAAAATTTGTTTGTAATATGTCACTCATTCATTAGTTGTTTATTGTTACAATATTCGAGTTTTTATCATTTATGCATGATAAAGATTTCATCTTCGAAAGTTAGACATACATAATTTATGATCATCATAATAAAAATTATGAAAAATAAATCGATTATTTATTGCTATAATGCTACAGCTTATTATTTTCATTCAAGACTATAAATTTGGTCATCCATCTTTCAAGGCTTTCGTAATTTATAATAATCACGATAGAAATTTGAACAAGATATCTAATCAGTTATGACTGTTTAAATTTAAAATAATTCTTTTTTTGCGATTTATTAGTTTCAAAAATGTTCAAAAATCGTAATCTGCAACTCAATAATAAACTCAAAACTAATCTAGATTCTCACAATAGATATCTCATCAACGAGTACTCTCTCTCTCTCTCTCTTTCTCTCTCTCCCATAAGCATATAAGCGCCCTCGCACGCACTCTCATGTCGGTGGAATGCCAAAAGGAGGATCGACTTATTTGCAAAGCGGTATATGCACGCGTGCACCGGTGGTATACCCCTTCTCTACTCGTGTCTTATAAAACCAGGGAAGCCTACTGCCAAGCAAAAGTCGCACGCGAAAGTCAAGATAAAAGGCAGAGAGGGGAGTCGCCTCTTTTACGCTCTGCCATCAGATCTGAATTTTAATATTGAATTATACGCTTTATCGAGAAAGCCAAGATTATACTCGAGGTCTTTCTTGAGTGCGTGGTCCTAAGATTTATTGTCGGATTCATTTTGTATTTTCTCGTTGACTGCTATCCTTGACAGATAAATGTCATTGTTTTTTTTAACCAATATTTATAATAATAATAGTTATAACATTCGCGGATACAAATGTATCATTCTCACGGTTACAAATATATCAAGTTTTCAGTTTGAATATCTTCCGATAGATGAATACTAAGTCATCTTTTTCTGCATTTGAATATCACTTTTTGTATCAACTTCTGACTTATGTAAGTTGACCTCATGATTCATCATTAAATTTTTAATATTTCTTTTTTGCAAAGTAATCGACTCTTACCCTTTTTGTTAATACATCTCAATCATCCGCAAAACTACAAGAAAAAAGCCATTTGTCCGCAAGCTACAGTCAGTCGAGCATTATCTTACTTGAAAGAACGACTTTGAACGCCTTTGATACTAATCCCGCGCGTAAAGAGAGAGAGAGAGAGAGAGAGAGAGAGAGAGAGAGAGAGAGAGAGAGGGAGTGAGTGTAGAAGGGGCGAAGAAGGTGTGTAGGCGGGCCACGCGACCAAACGGGTTCTACTTTGCCCCACCTACGGCCTCTTTCCATGGCATATGGCTTTCTACCTCGTCTTTCTCGTGTGTCTGCAACTTGAATATTCAACTGCGCACCGCTTCCTCGAACCATGCGTGCG